TTATCGCACCTTGGTACATGGTTTATTTTAATGTGTAATACTTTTACACCGTTTGTATCTCGCATTCTTGTTAATCATTATTATAATGTTTGTTTGATTAAAGTTTATTTGAGATACGCACATTATATGTATGTGAAGTATATCAACCTATAGGGTGGTCCTCTGATCAGTATTTCATCATCTAGACCCCTATTCTTACCTGAATAGATAATGGTGGATAGAGATTTTCTTATTTGTTGATAACCGAAAAATCTTCGAGGGGCAATGGCGGACTGTTCAAAAATGAATGGATAATAGGCTGCGGGACCCTTCTTCACTTAAACATCAAGCTTTTGGCTGTAGCAGGATCCAAACTTGTGATGTGCGCCTAAACCACATCACATCATGTGCTCTTTTCGCTAAACCAAAGCCCCAGGGACATGAAAATCTGTGATTTGCTTGTAGTTGTATGCCAGTAGGGATCACATATTATATTACTTAAAAAAAAATTCCTCCTTGTACGAGCTGCCTTTGGCACCAAATGTTGCAAAATATCATATATGACACTTTTGTTCGTATTTGTTGACTGTGATGAGGCGTTTTTGAACTCATTTAAGGCACTTTCATAATTTGGCATGAGATAACAAGGGGTTTCTTGGTTGCTGAAATGCTAGGGGAAGTACTCTGTAGGAAGAATATAAAGTCAACTGCATCTTAAGGATCTCACTTTCATCCTTTCTTTGACAGTGTAGTTTGAAAGGTGATGTCGAGGTGGTTAGCTTGTAGGGTTGGTGGGGCTGTTAGTTCTTTAGAGGAATCTGAAAGAATAGGATAGAAAGAAATATGGAGGAGTCAGGAGATACCAGGAATTTCACCTACAAATTTTCTCAGACACGAGAATTCCTAGAGGAGGTGGTAATGACAAACTGTACAGAAGTTCTCATTGTTAATGACAATCAGTATTGAGGCTTTCAATGTTTTCTTATGCCTTTGCAGTTTACATGTCTTTCCAAAGTGAAAGAAGCAGGTAATATCCTTGAACCGTAATATTTTGATTGCCTTGTCTGTAGCGTATATTCGTATTGTTGCTTTGTGAGACAATCAGCTGATCCCTATCTTATTTGTTGAAGTTCTTGAGGCCAGTTTGACATAAATTTCCTTTCAAAGTTTTGCATTTATCATCCTATATGTTGCTCGACGCTCATAATTAGTAGGGTTTTGATCACCTGCATCATTGCATGTATGTATGCTCATTTTCATTGAACGGAATATTGAAGAGAGGGTTCAAGTATACATATGGATTTTATTTCCAGTTCATTGAAGTAAGTTAACTACTATGTACTCCCTCAATCTAGAAAAATGACTTACTTTCCTTTTGGCTCATTCCAAAAAATAAACCTTTGCTAAAGTGTTGTAGGTTATATAACTCGATATTTAGTATCTGTACTAATTCAAAGATTTTGTTATCTTGCATAATGTGATATTAGAGAATTTGTCTGTACTTGCTGCTGTTCATGTTGAGAATTAATCTCTCCTCTCTTGATTCATTTATTTGACAGGGACGTGCATTATATCATATATCAAAAGCTTTCAGTTTTGCATCTTCAAAGTTGGAAAAGACTGGATATGGTATCTTGACATCCCCTTTCTTGTGCTTCTCTTTCTTATTTTGTTTTCTTGGGTATGCTTGGTTGGGATGGGTGATGGGGACTTGTCTTATGAGAACTTGATGCAGCAAATATCAAAAAGATTAGCTGAAACAATACTATAATAGCATTGGTGGTTTTGTTTTATTGTCTCCATTGTGTGCTCAAGATAGTCAAATCACTTGAATATCCTCTGATGAATGTAGAGGTGCTGAATTCCTTTTTCCATTTTCCTTTTGTTGTATTCTACTTGTGTTTATTCGGTTGATTGTTCAATTATAGTTAAATCTTGCTTTTAGAGATGAACTACCACAATATGCATCACCCAAAAATTTTGCTGTAAGGTGCTAGTATCATGTATTTTAATTACTCCAATGCGTAACGTCCATCCAATTTTGCACTATTGTAGATCACTCGCTACTAGTTCGTAATGCTCTATGATTTTCATGCTATTTGTTAGTTCCCTTTATCTCCATGACTATTCCTATTTTTAAGAACATCTCCTAGTGTAGATTAGCCCACAACATCATATTCCTAACATGACTCAAAATCAATGATTTGTTGCTTAAACTAAAATGGAGGAGAGAAGCTCCTAATAAGCATGTTAACTCTTGTCAAAAGACGCCCTGCGTGACTTTGCAGGTGTCTCATATTTTTTGATATTAGGATCTGCAAATATCTATTCAATTTAGGAAAAATAAGTTTTAAACTAATGTAATTAATGACAAAGTTAGGCACATGATGGTCAACACCCATTCTCGATTTGGTTCCTGGAAAGGTTAATATCTGGGATAAAAATGAACTAGTTGGAATTATGCTCTCTTTAGAAGATGTTTGTCCTAACGGGAAACTAAAACAAAAATATGAATAATAATGGGAAGTAGTGATATCAGATATGTTATTTGAAGGTGCTTTAATTCCTTGCAAGGGAATCACCAAAAACCAAAAATTCTTTAAACTGCATTCCTGATTGCGACAAAATTCCCTTTAGTACTCCGTCTGCGGAGCTTGAATTGGACCTCTCATTGTATATTATCCTTCATAGTTATGTTACGACAAGAATAGTTAAAATTTGATTTGAATCTCTCTATCAAGGAAGGTATCAAATTCTGTGCCCTGTGCCTAGATTGTTCAGATCTATTTCTCATGCTCTTTTTTAACATTTTATATAAGTATAATATTTTTATATTCGGTAACTTTATTTCGATCTGCATGCTTTCCTTTCACAGTGGCTTCTGAAAATGAGAGCGCAGCATCTGAACCTAAGGCTGCTAAGGAGACCATTGACTTCAAGGAACTTAAGCGAGTCGATCATATTTTTGCTTCCCTACAACGCACGGTAACTGTAATGTCTTAGTGTAGTGCGTCTGGATGGTGCTTTAGACTTCAGTTGTCTTGTGAGCATAACCTCTTAGCCCAGGGGCTTGATTTGAACTGTTAATTTATTATGATGATATTTTATGTGTTATTAAAGGTTAAGGTTTTTATGCTATGTTGCTCGGACTCTTCAAAAACGTCAACAGGTGTGTGGTGGATCCTCCCAAAGTAGTGCATTTTTGGAGGATCCACTACGGATGCAACAATATTCTTGAAGAGTCCTTGCAACATAAATTGTATGTTATTTTTACGAAGTCTGTGTTCACGTTAGAGAAGCATCTAAAAGTGACAATAATCTCTTGCAGCTACCACCAGTACCTCCGCCACCACCTTTTCCTGAAGGCTATGTACCGCCTTCCACAGCAGAAGCCTCTGAAAACGAGCAAGAAGAAACCCAGTTGCCTCCAGTTGATCCCATTATCGATCAAGGCCCGTCAAAGAGAATGAAAGTATGAAAGAACGAATGTCTAAGCACTTGGTAGCTGAAAAAAGTTTACGATTCCTGGGATGGTCCAGAGTGATCCTTTCAGAAGATTTCTGTAAATTATGTAGTGTAAAATCTTTATGTTAGGGATAATATATATCACCTGTATGGTGATAAAATGTTGATTCATAAGTTCAGGAAAAATTTGATAAAATAGCCAATTCTAATATATGGTATCAATATTAGTTATCAACGTCTAAAAAATGTATCAATGCTTTATTGCTGTTGTTGCTATTATAACACCTTGTTTCGAGCTATGTTTTGAACCGTTCTACGTATGTAGTTAGACTCGAACCCAGTGAAAATAACTGTACCTAGATGAAAAGGTCAATACTCAAGTTTGAGAAGCGTGTTGGGTGTGAATTAAGGTCACAAGGAACCGTCAACACAAGCTGCGTAGAAGGGTTCTTTACAGATTAAGTTTTTATATAAGCTCATGTAAGGATTAACTTTAAATAAGCATATCTCCTAAAATGTCAAAGAGTTACGTGGCCCATTAGTTATAAAACTAAAGTTCTATGATTCTAGTTTTCATACATTAAATCGTTCATCATTCAGACCTTTTAACAAAAAAAATTGTGATCAATTTATCGTAAATCCTATTCCCAGAATGTCTACCTAACTTTGGACAGCAGAATGTGTTGTCAGCACCTAATGGCACTGCATCATTCCTTAATTAGTAATCAATCCTTACACCTCCGAACTACGTCATTCATGCATCTCCTCGTCACATTTTCAAATCATGACGATCTATTTTTGTCAATCATGACGTTCAGATCCAATCAAATCATATTTTGTTGGCTTGGTTACAGATGTATTAAGAATTTGAATCTTATGGTCATGACTTTGGAATGCCAGTAAACAAACTGATATTTTGAGTAACTAGATTAAAAGTTACTTTCTCTTTTTCAGAAAGAATGAGCTGGTTTGATTTGACACCGAATTTAAGAATATAAAGAAGATTTTTGTATCTTGTGGTCCTAAATTAAAGTTAGGTTAAATGTACAAAATTATCCTTTGATCTTGTGGCCTTATACATGTCACGTGGAAAACTGAAATTAAAATGTTACAAAAAAAGAAAAAGGTCATTCTTTTTTAAACAGACTAAAAAGGAAAAGTGGTTATTCTTTTTTAATCGGAGGGAATATTATTTATGCATATTTACACAAGACTTGGTAGCTGCATTAAGTATAACTTTTTTTTACAAAAATAAAATTTTTGTTCCTTTTATCTTTATTTTACGAAAACTGATGTTCTATCCTGTATAATACAAGAAAATCGAGTTTGCTGCTCCAATCATTACCAAACCAATACCTATTTTTTTTTAGTGCTTACATTGTGTATATAACATTAATCCCTTCGTGAATCAATTCCAACGAGCCTTTCAAACTAGCACTATAGTAATCATTTCTATCGTAGACATGAAATTCAGTTTGTTGTAGCCATTATATCTTAGACAAAAAATTGCTTTTAGACTTGCAATAAAATGTCTACAAAATGCTGAATACACAATATTGTTGAAGTAAACTTTATAACCAAAAAAAAAAAAGGGAAATATATATAGCAACCCTAAAAGAGAAAATATCTCATGCTGCTTTTTATTTTCCCATAAACAAAAAAAAAAAACTCCAGAGCCAATTTGACCCTAGAAAATACATATGCAATCACAAAATACAACAAAATTCAATTATGCCATAATCAATTTTATTAGTGACTAATTAATATCCCTGATCAACAAGGTAATCACCAATTTTCTCCACCACCATGTTGCACTGTCCTGGAGTCACTGGTTCCTCATACACACCAAAAATCAGTGCCTGTGCAGTCTTCTTAATAGTTATTCCACCAGGACCCTACACCCAAAAAAAAATAAAATTACTCGCAATCAAATTCATCAGATTTAAATACTGAATTCCTCGAAAAAATACCTTTTTCCCGCGGATAACAGCACCAGGTTCTCCTTGAATGACCATGTATTTTGTACCCGCAAGGAATAGACCAGTTGGAGCTAGATGTCCAGGTTCATCGAAATCTTTCATGATGTTAGTTATCTCCTCTGCTTTAAACTAGACAACGCAAAATTACCATTACATATAAGCAATATTGAAAACATACGTAAACACAAATGTCAAGAGGTAGTCTCGATCCATCAATATATTTTCCGATCGATAGATTAATGACAGATCTATCGATCCAAATCGAAAAAATGAGAAAAAACATACAAGATCCATACCTTAGGGAAATTGGGACTCTGAGCCCAGACACTACCATCGAACCCGAGGATGGCTGCAGAAGAGAGATGGTGACCAGTACCTTCAATGTCACACATCAAGTGATCATCTACATAGGTTTGCCACGACATGTTTCGTTATTTTTCGATTTTTTTTTTAATAAAGTTAGGTTATTGTCTTGTCGATTTCTCGTAGTTTTCTTTCCTCTGATAGTAAGGTTTGTTTTAAATTGATTAAAATTGAAGAGAGAAGTGAGTATAAATAGGAAAAGAGAAAGAATAGTAGCCTTTGATTGGACGTGATTACATGAGTACCATTCACGTTGCTCATATATTCTCTTGCTTACCCATTATTTCTGTTAAATTTGGTCACCACTCACTACTCATGTGCCACAACTAACATGCATCATTATTCACCACCCACCTCATCACACACACAAAATAATATAAAATAAAATATATATTGCTTTGTTCAAAATCTAATATATATAAGAATGGTTTGGTCTATTTGCATGTATTTTTATCCTTACATTGTTTGATTAGATATAAAGTATATGAAAATAGATTTTAAAAATTTTCATTCTTATATTGTTAGATTAGATATATATATACCAACATGGTCGTGGTGCGGCACTGGTGGGAGTGTTTCACCCTTAATCAAAGGTCTCAGGTTCGAGCCCTGGATATGGAGAAAATCATGTTGGGAGCGTCACTCTCGAATGGGCCCTGCAATGCGCGAAGTTGAAGCTCTAATATGGACTTGGAACATCGAGTGGAAAACCAGGAATTGTTTTTAGATATATAGTATATGATGGTAGATTTTAAATTTTACATCCTTATATTGTTTTATTAGATATAGAATATATGAATTATGATGATAGATTTTCAATGGCATGTATAATATGTAAATGCAGTTGTTAATTTGATCTCGTTTCACGTCTATTTCTTTTTAATTTTAATTTTGGATATACACAAATAGATACTTAAATTTATATAAAGTTGAACAAATAGACACTTGTGTTTGTTTAGTTTTAAAACATTAGTTGATGAAGTACAATAAATAATCCATTTTAAAACATTAGTTAATGAAGTAATACAATGAATGACTTCTTTTATATGATTTCAGTGAGGAATTTTTGTTTAGTTTAATTTTGAATTAATAATTTTATATGGCTGGCATCATATGATAAAATGTATTATTACTATATTATTTCTCCTTTATTTTAGTCTATCATGAAGCTCCATCATCTTCTTTAGAAAATTCATGTCTATTTTAATATAGTTCAAATAAAAATTTAAAATATTTAATTAGTATATTGAGAAAATCAATCTTATATAGTGTTTGTACTAACTATGATTAGTTTTACCGTTAAATTATTTTTCTATTATAAATAGTAAAGAATATTTCGAATAAAACATATGTTAAATATATCTACATGTCAATTAATCTTATTATAATAAATATTTCATGTGAAAAGTTAGAAATAGTTGATTGTTACATAGAAAATAATATAAAGACATAAGAAGAAAGAAGAACAAACACTTAAAAATATTTGAAGTATTTGATTTTTTATCAAGATAAAATAATGATAAATTAATATTATTCTTAGAAAATTTCAACACAATATATATATTTTAAAATTAAAAGCATAGTTGATATAGCTATATAAATTATATTTAAAAATTATAAAATTAAATTGCACAGTAATCACATTAACTTAATGTGCTTAAATAAATAAGCTAATGATTTCTGTTATTACTTCCCATTTTATATTAGTTAATCATTTTTTTTTATATACACATATTAAGAAGTGATAAAAAGAATATAAGTTTATTAATTTATCTTTTAAAAAATTTCTTGAAAATTTTACAAATAAATTTTACAAATAAATGTGAAATAGAATTATTTGCAAAGGTGGTATAAACAAATTAATTAATTCATTCTTGATTTAGTAAATGAACAACTAACATGGAACAATTATTTTTAGTAAGATGATTAATTAATATAAAACGGAGAGTACTCCCTGCGTTCATAATTAATTGTTATTGTTTTCTTTTTAGAGTCAAATTATATGAACTTTAACCAACATTTTATGATGTATATTTTCATCATATTGATATGCAAAAAGTTGCAATTGATAGTACTTTTCATATAGTTTTTAAATGTCTATTTTTTTTAAAAAACATATCGAGTTAGTATAATCTAATTTAACTTTAAAAAATAGTTAAAATTGACTTCTGAAAAGTGTAACATGACATATAAAAATAGAAAGATCGAGTATTATTTAAATATATCACCAAGTGAATATCAATTCTTATTAGTTATTTTAATTATAAAATAATTATATTTTAAATATTTGCATAACGCGCGAATATGTATACTAGTACGCTAAAAAGTATAACAAATGACAACAATAACTTATTTATCCAATTTTTGTATACTCCCGTTTTTAATTATTCTCTAATTGATTCTTCAAGTTGAAAGTTATATTTAAATGTTATGCTAAACTTTTTGACATACTAATTAATTGAGTTTGTCTTTACAAATTTTTTTTTTTGTATTTATACATGCAAAAAACAATAATATAGATTGTGTCAGAGGTTAAATAACAAGCGGTGAAAATTTGCAAAACAAAGAAAAAATCTTTTGGGTATTTTTTAGGCATATTATGGTAGAGTATAATATATATATATATATATATATATATATATATATATATATATA